AATAGTAAAAATCGTCATTAAAGAGCAATAAATCAAATAAGGAGTCGACGGACAACTTTAGCCATTATAGTCTTGTGTAAATAATTTCTTGCTTATCATTTTTGTTTTTTTAATAGTTTCCATCTATCTATTGTAGTTTGTAAGATATAAGGCAAACATGCAATAAGTTAGTAAAAATAGTCATTTAAGGGCTATATCTACAATAAGGAATCGACTCACGATTTCTTCTATGTTGTATTATTTGGCTGACTATTTTTGTTATCTAAAATTTTCTGTGATATATGATTGATTTAGAGATAATAGGCAAAAATGAAAAAAAAAAAAAAAAAACATAATGTACAATTCGTTATTTAAGAGCTATAACTCCTATAAAAAGTCGTCTAACAGTTTTAATATTATAGACAAATGGTACTTTTTTTAAATTCTTAACATTTTAATATACAAAAAAACGAGCTTTTTACCCCTTTGTTCTATTTTAGCCAAGTCGACCATGTTGGTTGAAGGTAGGGTCATCGGACATATTTTAAAAATGTTTACAACAATGATGACTGTTGCAAAGTGTAATTCAATTTGGCCTAGAAGTTTCTGAGGAAAAGAATTTTGCAAACATGAATGGATGACAACGATGACAGATGGCGACGGACGCCAAGTAATGATAAAAGTTCACTTATATCTGGCTATCTGGGCCAGGTGAGATCAAACCAATTAACATTAAAGTTTTCATTAACATCGTTTCAAGATGTTTGCAACTCTGTTTCAAAATAGCAAGCTATTTTAAAAGACTGTTATAAATTTATAGAATATAAATAACGGAAAAAAAAAAAAAAAAAAGCAGAAAAAAGGAAGGGGATGTGTCCTTGTTTTCGAGATGAAAGCCACTGAAAATTTGACGGGACATGAGTTTCTGTAGACTTTTCATACATTTAACATCGGCACCTTTTTTCTTTCAAAAGGTTAGAAAAAATAACAAGGATTTTATAAGAATTTCAATATATTTGTAATATGAAATTATGAAAAAAAAATAGGGGTTGGCGGGCAGAAAAATTTAATAGCCCTACATGGATAAAACCAGAGGATTCCGAATATCTGACAAAAAGTAAAAAAACACGAGGAGCGAACATCCTTAATATAAATGAAACATTAATGCATTAGATTGAGTATTTTAGGCATTGCATAAGATCTTGTCTCTCTGTTCTGTTAACATAGAAAAAAATATGAATTTGATGTATGCAATCTAGTTTAATTCACTAACCGAGATTATAACATGTATAAAGGGGAGGTAAAATTTTCGAATAACACAAAATATAACTGTGCCTGTAGGTGTATCTTTGATGGTAAATAATGTTAAATCAATTCCTTATTTTAGGCATGAGACGATTTTTAGCTTTACATTCGGTATAGGCACTTATTTTGAAGGACTGTATGCTGATTCTTGATGTCTTGTTTTTCTGTGTCATTGGGTTGCTGTCTCTTCAAAGCATACCACACATCTCCTTTTATTCAACCTCCAGGGTTTACAAGGGGATAGAATTGGAAAAGACAAATGAATAAGGAATTAATATATATATGGATCCACGTGTGGTCTAGAGGGAAAATTCAAAATCAGTTTGCGCCAAAAATGCGTCATTTTGAGCCACAACTCATTTGCGCTAATGCTACGGTTTGTGGTTCTAGTTATCAAAGTGCCTAGTATCATATGCGCCAAAATTAAGTATTAAATTGCACCAATTGATCTACTGAAAAAAAGGACTGTGAAAATTTTCGAACATACCAAATTCTAGCCCTTCATCTCTAGCGTCTCTCCTTGCAAAATATACCTATTTTGTTAAATGTTGATAAATCTTGTCCTGAATATGCATGAAATGATTGCCACTAGATATTCAGCAAAAAAGAATCATTCAGTCCTGTATTTTACTAGACTTTTTAAATTCTGTTTTGGACCCCTGATTCTACGTTGAATTTTTTTGGGGGGTTGGATGGATGGGGGGGATGGTGTCTAATTAGTCATGCACGATTAACTGTTAATAACAGAATCTCAACTTAAAGATCAATACCGAAGTAATAAGTTCGGGTATTGTAAGTAAACAAAATCATTTTATGAAATGAGATCATCTCAGGTATCTAAGATCATTATTTTGTGTTGAAAAACAATGAAAACTACAAGAATCATTTAAACTTTGCTGTTGTTGAAGTAGTTGCCAATGTGCTCAGCATGTACAGTGATTGGAACAAATGTCAGTTGAAAATGTTAAACTCGGAAATGCAGCGGTATGCAAATAGATTTCGTCGATTAATTCGATCCGCTAAAATCAAGATGTGAGTAAACAATTTACATTTAATTTATACGGTTTCGTCTGATAGACCACTGCATCAAGTGTGTTACGAAATTTCTTCACTCGAGACGGTTAAATTTTAATATTTAAATGGCGAGGCTTGCCGAGCTTTTTAAATACTTAAAACTTAACTGTTGAGAGTGGAGAAATATCGACGAAGTTTATCCTTCATTTTAAAATTAATAAAATATTTGCAGACAGTTGTGTTCTTTATATGTGACGTCATCAGGCATGGTCGCCTTTTTGATTACGTGACATAAGGAAATTTAGAAGAAACCAAATTTCACGTAATATTTGAATTTCGACCAATCATTTTCGAGAAAAAAGTTTTCTCTAGAGATGAGAAATATTTTTCTCACATCGATCGAGAAATGTAAAAAAAGCATGACAAGTAGAAAAAAATCGACTTAATACTATTACTCTGGCTTACCTGTTCATTTGTATTTTATGTTTACTGTTTGTTTTTATCTATAAATGTCATGTCAACAGTTTATCATATGGCTACTAATTAGAAACGCTTATAAAATGTTCTAATGTTACACCTAATGAATCGATACATTGTGTATTGTTGTCATTGAGAATTATGTAGTTCCGAATTCCATTTAAGTATATATAAATGTTCAAATGTAAGAAATTAAATTGATTCGTTAGAATTAAATTTGGCAGCTAATGCCTCTTTTAAATCTCCTTTATTTATATCAATTATTATCTTTAACAATTATTTTAAACCATAATGACATTTCTTGTAAAATAGATTCGGCAAGATTTAATATATTCAACGTTAGTATAGTAGGAGTAAGCACATGCGGTAGAACAAAAATGACCCCCTTTCAAATGCCATTTTCGTTTATATGTTTAATGTTTTAATGTTAGAAAACTTCCGTTTGCTTGTCTTTATTTTTCATGTCTCGAGTTTAAAAAACGTTCTTGTCCCACATTATTTCTTGCCTATCTCCCTTTAGCAAACGATCTCATGCATTGCTATCAACCGCTTTAAAGGGAGAAGTATCATGATAACGGATGGTAATCAAGCCTTATCTGACAAATGAATGTTTCTTTTCTATAGTATCGAATATTTGAATTATGAATAGGAAAGTACAAATATAATACAAGGAGATTTTACAACAACATAAAATAGTTGTTAAAACTTATGTCATGCACGTGCGTTGGACTAAAAATTTACCTATTCTGTGCTCTATTCGAAAAGAATCTTTTACCTAGAGCTGGACATATAAAATTGATTTCTTTACATATTTTTGATCGTCATTTTCTGTAATTTGTATATTGCCTTTATTTGTTTTCATATTAAGCACACTGATCGATCACGTATATCTATCAAAGTTTTTCTAATATTTCTGGATTGTATTAACCAATATTATGAACTATGATTGTAAGCTATAGGTAAAATTAATGACCTCAATATTATAAAAATAATACTTTTCTATATTGACTTTAATGCAAGATTTTTTATTATTAATTGTTTTTAGCTTTTAACTAGCTGTCAGTAACTGCGAGTACTCTCAAATCGTACTTTCTTGTTTATTTGACCTGTTGATACATGTAATTGTAATGCTTGTTTGTTATTTAATGTTATTCAGGGTTATATCTGGTCTATATACCAGCTTTGATAAGTGTTTGGTAATACTATAAATTTTCACTTCGTACTATGAACATCAAAATTATCTATTTTGTAAAAATATTTCCTTTCTCTATTTGAACTGTACACGTATACCTAACAACAAAATTATTCTCATATACCTGTGTTTAAAGTAATTTCAAATGGCTGATATTTTTGTCAAGCATATTGTTTTTCTTAAATTGTTTAACATTTCACAGCGGTATAACATGTTACTTTTATTATTCTTCCCTTAGTTTATTTATTTTGTATTTACATTGTATCATAGGTCAAATTTATTTGTTCAGTGTATGTTCACTGGTGTTAATATGTCTTTTGATTGAATTAAGCCATTTCAATTGATATTTTATAGTGTGTCTTCTATGTTGTGATGTTATACTATTGTTTCAGATAAGGGTGAAGGTTAGGTACCATTAAAATGTTTAAACCCACTGCAATTGTTTGCACCTGTCCTAAGTCAGAATTCTGATGTTCAGTAGTTGTCGTTTGTTGATGTAGTTCATAAGTTTTTCTCTTTTCTCGTTTTTTATATAGATTAGACCGTTAGTTTTCCCGTTTGAATGGTTTTACGCTAGTAATTTTTGGAGCCCTTTATAGCTTGCTGTTCGGTGTGAGACAAGGCTCCGTGTTGAAGACCGTACTTTGACCTATAATGGTTTACTTTTATAAATTTTACTTGGATGGAGAGTTGTCTCATTGGCACTCATACCACATCTTCTTATATCTATTTACATCATAAATGTTCACCCCCAAATATTTTAAAGACAACGAAGTAAAAATATTTAAAACACAAGGAACATAACGACCAAACAGCTATATCTAGATTTTAATATCTGTTTTAAAGTTATATAAGAACTGGTTCGAATTGGTATCTCACTTTCTACTTTCAAGTAAACATAAATCAAACCGTGTTTGTTTTTAATTGCACTTCTTTGTAGTTTTTAGTATAGTTGTGTTACATTTTAAAAAATCGTACACTTAAAACATTATATTATTATAAATTCAGTATAGTCCTGTAAAGCGAATGTTACCTTTTATTCCGTTCAAGCAAAGGAGAAATCCAACGACTGCGCCACTACTGAATAAACTTATTTTCCATAAGTAGCTGTGAATCATCAAATGCCGACTACCTGCAAGTATAGATTAGTTATTTTCTCACTTATATTATTTATCAATTTGATAATTAATATCATCATCTCAGTAGCCTGTAGTTTGGTACTGACATGATTTATGACAAACCTTTCTAAAATTGTCTATGTATAAATTTTGAAATTATATGGAAAAGAAGGTTTCAACTCCCTCAGGCACAGTTGACCTTGGATGGATTTGGCTTTTTTTTATGTCCTTTTCAGTCATAGAGATCTTCAACTGTGTTGGTTCTTAAAAATAATTGACTTTCAAAATTTCGACTTGGATCGATCATGAGGAAGGGTAATCCAGGAAAACGCTTTCATTTTTACAGCCATGGGTCGATACCTCTCTACTGGTGAACTATTAGTCCCCGAGTGTATTTTCAGCTCAGTATTTCGGTACTGACATAATTTATGACAAACCTTTCTGACATTTGCAGTTTATAAATGTTGAAAATATAAGGAAACTAAGGTTCCAAGTCCCTCATGCATAGTTGACCTTAAATGGATTTGTTTGCACCTATCCTAAGTCAGGAACCTGTTGTTCCGTGGTTGTCGTTTGTTGATGTGGTTCATAAATAAGTGTTTTTAGTTTCTCATTTTTGATATAGATTAGACCGTTGGTTTTCCTGTATGAGTTGTTTTACATTAGTAATTTTGGGGCCCTCTATAGCTTGCTGTTCGGTGTGAGCCAAGGCTTCGTGTTGAAGGCCGTACTTTGACCTATAATTGTTTACTTTTCACACATTGTGACTTGGACGGAGGGTTGTCTCATTTACACTCATACCACATTTTCTTACTTCTATTGGCTATATTTTTATGGTCCTTTTTTGGTCATATGTAACTTCAACGGGTTTTTTTTCTTATAGATCCTTGTCTTTCAAATATTCGGCTTTGAGCGATCCTGGTGAAGGTAAATCCAGAGAAGCGCTTCAGACGAATGGAATCTATAAAGTGTTGTTTTTAGTTTTGTAAGAAATCAGAAATACAGACACGAATAACATTCGACATACAAATGCTATTGACATAATGAAAATAAGGCATGTTTTTGATGATTCAATGTACAATGTAAACATATTTGTTAATGATTTGATTTATTATCAGGCAAGTAAAGATCAAGATATAACATTCAAAATATTATGTTAATATTGTGCATGCTGAAATGCATAAATACACAGAACACTAATTCTCCATCTACCCTCAAAAACCCAAATGTTGCTAAAATTCTGTCTTTCCTTCAAGACAAATCAACTGTTAAACTGTAGTCTCAGCTGCCAAAGGCGTGCGTTTGTTTGTAAATCACATTACACATACTGATTAATAAAGGGATTTACTCTTAGCAACTAACTTGGAAACTCAAATATTATCCAAATAACACTTTCTAATGATATCAAAATGTTTGGGGGGATTTCATCCATAGATAAAGAACAGAACATACCTCCATTTTTGAAACCAGCATTGTATAAGTTATGTAATGATAGGTCTGCAAAATGCGTCAATCAACCACTCTACTTTCAACATCATTAATATACATTGCATTACTATACACATTCAGGCTTCAGAGTTACAGTGAAAACACCTACTCTTAGGGGCATTATAAATCAGATGTGAATACTACGAAAAGATATGTTAGAGTACAACAATCTAAGTCTCTTTCATTGCGAAATACTGTGAAAACATCTGACTTATATACCTTTATATACAAACAATTCCAAGTTAACTTAAAAAACAGATTGAAAGAATGTGTTCAATATAAAACATAGCATATTAGGTAGATAGGTGATAAAACAAATTTTCAACCGGAATCAAATTGGCGTAGATTTAAGGCCCTCAACTTTGAGCAACACGCTTTCCGTACAGCCAGCTTTAAAAGGCCCCGGTATGACAAAATGTCAAACAATTCAAACCTACGACTGAAAAACAAATATGACGAACATCAGGCAACAGCAACCACTGAATTACAATAATAAAACCTTAAACACATCTTGCTGGGTTCAATATGTGTGAGCGCCCAGCCCACCCCACCATGGAGACCTGCGTTACAGCACAATATACGAAGAATGATCTGTCAAAATTAATTCGATACTTTTTCATAAAAAAATGATATTGATCAAAGTAAATACAAATATTTTTTTGTCTCAGTGCGAACCACATAGTTTGTCAAAAAAGGACACTTACTAAAAGATGCAAATAATTTTTTCCTTAAACTTATATCATCAAGATAATTGATATTTTATTGACAGAATATTTGTTTCGTTCTAGAACGTCCCTTTCAAAAGACCACCGGTATTTCTAAAATAACCAACTGTTATCCTGTTTTTGTCGACGTGTTCTTTATTCATATGAGACGGATATCATACAGAATCTTCTCAAAAGAATGAAAAGAATTTAGAATCATTTTTTCACCTCACACTTTATCAATCATGTCCTCAAACAAAATAATTCAAAGTTTGGTGACTTTGTAACTCGCATCTGTGCATTCCAACGTGAAATTAAGGATACCACTGATAAACTTGAAAGTTGACATACAGCTAAATATTGACAATTAGGGGCGGACGATAACTTCACTAAACGACTAAAGAGCGGATATCAGCTTTCAAATTGGGAAATTTATATTAGAAACTTTCTAGTGAGTGCATAAGGAGTAACTTTCCTGCAGCTGACAATTTCTCAGAGATTGCGTTTTCTAAGAAAATTTCCTTGATAGAGCATTGATGCCAACTTGGAAGATATTCTCCAAGGGATTCAAACAGTTAAAATCATCAATTTAAACTTTTGTCGTAGCCACAATCCCGTCCTCTTTTTCTCGACTGTATCATCGCCGAACGCTGCTTATTATGGAATATTTCTTTGCCACTACCACGTCGGGGTCCATGAAAGGACCATGATATGCTTACCTATCCTTAATATCAGACAGGTTGCTGGTGGAGATCGTGTTAACGTTGCACAGCCATATTTGAGAAATTCAAATGTAATTTTGCTTTATTTTTATATTTCAAAATCATCATATTTAACAAAAATTTCTCTTATTTGTCCATTATCAATTGATATATTTTTTCTTCAACGAATCCCATATTTGTGTACTTGCTGTATGACAGAAACAGGGAAGATACCAAGAAGGCTATCACAAATCATAGTTACAATAAAAACAGACAACATCATTGACAAAAATAAAAACAACAGCGATAAAACATAACACATAAAAATAAAATTTTAGCAAAACAAACCTGATAAAAAAGCAGGTACGAACTCGGCCACTAATCGCACGCTAAGACTTAATCATTGCAAATGCAATACGAATACTAGTGCAGCGGCTACAAGCATATTTCAGACGAATTGTGCACATCCTGCTACAAGCATGAAATTTGGCATAGACCTTCCTCAACTATTACTCTTTTATTTCAGATAGGGAGGCATTTGAAAAAAATGTCTCACTTCCGGTTAAATCCAAAATGGCGGACATCATACCTAAATCAGCCCAATATCGATGGCTAGTATGTGAAAAGATGTTATTATCATACTACTATCATAATATTTGGTACAAACCTTTGTTATGTACTACTTTTGGATATATTATATAGATTAGATGTCTTCAAAAACCCTACTTCCGGTAAAATCGAACATGGCGAACGTTGTACTAAAATAAGCTTATTTTTAGGGAGGGTAATTGAAATGTGTTTTAACGTATTGCTACTATCATTACATTGTGCAGGAACCTTTCTTTGGTGCTTCTCACGGATACAATGTATAAGACATATGTCTTTAAAACCCTTACTTCCGGTAATATCCAAAATGGCGGACATAGAAATATCAAATTTTTACTTTATTTAATATTCAACTTTTTTCTAAATGTAAAGAAAATGTTTTTTTTTTTGTGCTGGTTTTAAACTTTTGGCTTTAAGTTATCCTCAAAACCACTAATTCTATTCTGTTGTAAATGTTTAAATACAAAGTTAACACTTCCGGTAAAAAAAATATCATAGATGAATCCTCAATCCATATCTTCGATGTAGAGTTTTGGATAGATTGATTAAAACAAAATAAAATCACTAATAAAAGTATTAAAACATTTCTAAAATTACTACCAATTGGCCAAAAATACATGTTTATTCACAGTCACCACCACATGCACACAAAGCAGTGCATGGGAGACCCGATTTTCCACATTAACAACGACCACGGCATCCTTTCTTACATCCACAATGTACAAGCTTCTGACAAAATGACGAGGCCTCAGAAAGATTCTTTTTTAAAGTGATCCCCTTTGTCCCTTCGCCATCCATTAACGCCTGGTATTGGTAGCATAAGAGCCAATTCCAAGCTCGTCCCCCTTAACACCTGTCTTAGTATATTGCACGTTTAACATGCTGGAAAAGACTAGACCAAGTTGAGGGAATAGCCTCAATTAGCCTTCCCTTTTGCGCAAATAGTTATTTTCTTACTTCGTTAACCATGTTAACCCCATCTGATAAGTTTGTGCGATCTTACAGTTAAACCCCGGTGATTTAGGCTGATCAATCATCATTCCTTATGTTAAAGTCACATCTTCAAATGCCATCAATGTCTCCCACGCAGTCTTTTTTCCTGTTCAAACGAATATAGAACCGTATCACAACAGGTTAAGGCATGGATCACAATAAGTCTGTGTGATCACTCATTGCCTAGTGCATTTGAAAGGTCATTGATAGATATTTATCCAAAGCTTTTTGCCCTCCCAAACACAATCCATAGTTCGTCTAGCACTATGTCACGGAATAGCGAAATAGTAATGACAGCATCATCAGTAACAACTGTTCGAATCATGACTCGTTTGAGTTCGTGTTTCACTGCATCAGACACATGCACCATGATTCTAGTGTCAGCCTCTTTATGCGAACATGGTGCTAAACTTGAAATACTTCACGTCGTGGATAAGATAGAATATCCTGAGCATTTGTTGCTACAAGTACCATACGCATCCAAGACTTCATCCACTCCTGTAACAGTTTTAAGGTAAGGACATAATACCCTATCATCATACTCGTTATGAAACACCTTGAAACTGTAACAACAGTGGATGTAGTCTCGGTTGCGTACATAGACAATACCGGTAGTTTACAGGCTGCTACAAGAAGCAAGAGCTACATTTAGGGGAAAGGGAATACACAGGCGAATCCAGGGTCAAAACAAATTCCTCAAAATTGGCAAAGTTTTCTGAGAGATGAAGACAATAAGAAAGAACTTTTTAGTTTTTATTCACAGCAGATTGCTCAATAGATTTTGAGGAAAAGGTAGTTGTAGCAACAAATGCTGAGGATGTTCTGTGTTATCCACCACATGATGATGTTTCACGTTAAGCACAATGTTCACATGAAGAGGCTGACACTAAAAGCAAGATGCATGGGTCTGATGCAGTGAAACACAGACTTAACTGAGTCATGACTCGAACAGTCGATACTGATGTTGTTGTCATTGCTGTTTCGCTATTCCGTGACAAAGGAGCAGACGAACTTTGGCTTGCATTTGGAAGTTGGAAAAGCTTTAGATATATATCTATCCATGACCTTTCAAATGCACTAGCCATTGAGAGATTACACGTTTGCTGGAAAAGGAACTGCGTTGGTGACATGGAGGGCGTTTGAAGATGTGACTTTATCATTTAGAATGATGATTGATCAGCCAACATCACCAGATATGGATTTGATAATGTCATTGATAAAACGATACGTGGTTTTGTTGTTAGATCGAACAAATTTATCAGATGGGGTTAACGAAGCAAGAAAACATGTGTTTTTGGAAGAGGAAAGACTTATTGAGGCTGTTCCCACGACTCGGTCTAGTCTTTTTCAGCATGTGCAATATACCATGGCGGTGTGAATGAGTAACAAGCTTTGAATTGGTTCCAATGCTAACTAGTCCAGACGCTTATGAATGGCGAAGGGAAAAATATAATCCATGGGAACCCTTTTGGACAACTCTTTGTGAGGCCTCTTCATCATATCAGGAGCTTGTACATTGGATGTAAAAAACAATATCACGGTCTTTGTAAATGTGGAAAATCAGCTCTCCGATTGTAAATAAACATGTATTTGCGGCCATAAATTAGTAATTCAAAAGATGTTTTAGTACTTAGGTGATTTTATTTTGTTTTAATCAATCTATTCAAAACTCTACATCGAAGATATGGATTGAGGACTCATCTTTGAAATTTACGCCATATTGGTTTTTTTTACCTGAAGTGTTAACTTTGTATTTAAACATTTACAGTTGAATAGAACTAGTGGTTTTGAGGATAACTTAAAGCCAAAAATTAAATGACCAGCACAAAAAAAAAAACATTTGCTTTACATATTGAAAAAAATTTAATATTAAAATAAAAATTTGATATTTCTATGTCCGCCATATTGGATATCACCGGAAGTCGGGGTTTTAAAGACATATGTCCTATAAATTGTATCCATGAGAAGCACCAAAGAAAGGTTCCTGTACAATATAATGATAGAAGCAATACTTTAAAACACATTTCAATTACCCTCCCTAAAAATAAGCTTATTTTAGTACAATGTCCGCCATGTTCGATTTTACCGGAAATAGGGTTTTCGAAGACATCTAATCTATATAATATATCCAAAAGTAGTACATAACAAAGGTTTGTACCAAGTATTATGATAGTAGCTTGATAATAACACCTTTTCACAAACAACATCGATATTGGGCTGATTTAAGTATGATGTCCGCCATTTTGGATTTTACCGGAAGTGAGATTTTTTTTTCAAATGCCTCCCTATCTGATATAAAAGAGTAATAGTTGAGGAAGGTCTGTTCCAAATTCCATGCTTGTAGCAGGATGTGCACAATTTTTCACAAAGCCGCCGTACTATACGTAATATCACAATCGAAGACACGAGTACGGGATTTTGGTTAAAGCAAGAAAAACACATCCGAAAAAAACTGTGCCAATAAAAAAAGTCATTCTATAAATTGCCCGATTAAGCTTAATACAGTTTCATCAATATTGTTTAAAATTACGCTTAAGACGCCAATTGTTACTTTAAGTCGACGTGATTTCATGAATAATTTGTTGAAACCAGTACGATTATATTTTTGAGACTCATATCGTATGTCATTTAAAAATGATAATTGCGAAACAATATCAATTAACACACAATGTATGTTCTGCAAAAAAGGAAAACAACACGTTATAAATTTCACGGTAGGTGAACTAGAATAAAAAACAGCCGCTTGAAAATGTATAATGATGGAAAAGACAGAAAAATATACTTGTAACATGCTACTTTCGGTTCCCTTAGAGTTGTTGCAAGGTTTCTTTGACGTGCAGAGAGCGTTGCAAAAACGGAAGTATTTTAGGGATGACTTAATGTCTATACCCTTGCAGAGGAAATGATTATCGATGAAATAACGCAAATGGTCTATAAAGTACGTTCTTCGCTACTTTTCGATCTATCCGTTAACGCGATTTAGGTAAACTGCTACCTCTTCTAAAAACACTTTCCCGATCAAACAAACGCTGCAATCTTATGGTAGAAAAGGCTCGTTTAGTATTCAGACAATGACAATAAGTCATAGTCAGAATCATTTACGAAATATGTCAGTCGGTTTTAAGCACAGAAAAAAAAAAAAAAAATAAAAGGTACAACTACAATTAACAAAATATTGGAAAATATAAAAGCAATTGTTAGATATTGAAAAACAGATTTCAATTTTGTATTATATAAAAATTGAAAACAATGATCACAGTTGGTTACAGTCACACATTTTTAACTTCCTTATTCGTTATCATATCTCTGTAGGATGCGTTAGCAGAGAGTCAAATACCAGATAAATGCTCGTTAAAATTTTACACATTTGTATGGTGGTTGGAGATTGGTTGATTGCTGATAATTTGACATTCTTTAAAGTATGTAATTTGAATAGAACATAAATATAATAGTACACTTCATAAAAATTCAATGCACATTTCCAATTGTTATATATAAAATGATGCATACGGTCTTCCTCTACAATCAGATTCATGGTTAAATCATAATCAAATTAAATATTTACCTGTTTTGACTATAATGTCGTCTGTTTTGTTACTTTTCCCTACAATGGTCATGGCAAACACTCGTACAGAGTACACAGTTTCAGCTTGTAGCCCGTCGATTACTACAGATGTTTTATTTTCTGCAGGAATCACATTCCATTCTTGCTCAAAACCTTTTCGGTATTCTATAAAGAATGTTTGTAGCATTCCATCACTTTTGCCGGCCTGCCATTTAACTATCATTTTTACTCCTAATGTTAGAACCTGAACATTTCTTGGCATTTCTGGTGTACCTAAAATAGTTTTAATTGTAGCATAAAGTAAACTTGTTGCTTTTGTATAAATACATATAATGTTATGCCCCATAAATTTGATAGTTTATTTTGCTACTGTGGATTTTACTTGCGTTACTTACATATTTGTGTTTATATTTTCACAGCGGGTCTTCGTTCGACGTTTAATACATGTATTTGTCAGTTGTTGCGTTCTGTTTCGAAAATTACCTCAGAAATGGCTTACCAAGACTAGCATTATTAAATGACTTTTTACATCTATGCATACAGGATACTTTTCACCTAGTAGTCACTCCAAATATGCTATAAAAATATACCGTCATGTGCTTCTTTTAAAGATAACGCGGATGAAATTTAGGCATTTACTCAGACTTAAAATGTTTAATGACTAATATGTTTGGGAACAATTGTTGAACAAATATATTTTGTCGTTAAAACTTATGGATTTTTCTGTAACGGAACATGTTTTTTTAGCATAATGAACCAGAGGAAGTAACATGTTTTATAACTCATTATCGGTCAGAGCAAATAATAAATGTTAATATGTAAAGCGGATGAGTTCAGATTTGTTATGTCGCTAATCCACAAAAGTTAGAAAAAAACAAGAAAATGGATGAATGAACAAATGGAAAACTATGTGTTAGTGCAAATGTATTGCTGTTATTTATTACTCTATTATTATAGCTTTTGTATGAGGTCCATACAAGGATATATTAGTCTGTAAGAAGTATATCGACTGAGGACGAAATCGATATAATTCACTAGGTCGATACATCATCTTAAATGTACCGGCTGCAATATCCTTATTTTTATTGTCCATTCGCCGGAAACATAGTCGGAATGCATTTGAACAAAGTATAGAGATTTTTAGATTTCTATTTTAGATGTTAAAAAAAAAAAATAACTGTGTAAGATCACTTTTCTATCTGGCGTTTTCTGTCTTCCATTGCAAATAAAGGTGACTCATTCTGAAAGTGTCAAATAAGTTATAAAAATACAAAATAATATTATTACAAATTACAAATACAATGAACCATAGACTCAAGCAATCGAGTTGTAATTCCTATGGTTTGTGTGTGTTCGATCATATAAATGGTAATGCCACGACTATATGATTGGCTTTAGAGAGCGTCTACTTGAAAGTGATATCGGTTATAAGGCAATTTTTAGTTCTTCTTAAATTTCAATGGCTGTAATCAATGATCCACACACTGTATTTTCTCTGTTGACAATTACATTTTTCTTGCAAAAATCCTAAAGTAGTATGCCTTGCTAGGATCTAATGATGGAATATAATAACTCGCTGTTTATAAACCAAAAGTTTCAATTAAGCCGTTTTAATTTCTTATTTAGCTGTTTCCGGTATTCTATGATAAATTATTGGTGCATACCACCATCCGATTCTGGTTCCAATAAGTCAGGTAGTACGTAAAGTAATCTTCAAATCTTTAAGTTTGACTAGCAACCCTTAACAAGTGAACATTATTTGCCTATCATGCTTTAAGTATTAGCCCTTAAAACGTAACAATTAACAAAAGCAAAGGTTTTAAGAATTATGCTGATTTAATAGATGGAACTGACTTTCTACAATTTTGATTCTTTTGTAAATAACTGTTTAAGAGGGAACGCAACATGAAAAACCAGCAAAGCAATACAGAACTGGGACACTTCATGTTCACCTTCTAAAAAGGTTTATGATAATAATACTATTGATGTGAAATTTGTATTTTTTTCGGGGATACATATCGGTTCACACGTATATATAGTTATAAACACAATTTCTAGTCCGTGTTCCGATTCTAAAATTTGATATTAGAAAAACAATAACATGCATATTTAAATCAACTGTCTACTAGTGTACCAGCACGTTAAAATTCAGAATCAGAATGTCAGTCTATTACAAACTGGGTTCATATTCATGTCACATCAACATGTTCTCATCCTGATATGCAAGTACTATTTTCCTCTAAATCCACCAAATCAATAACCTATAACTCTCAGTACGGTATTGTTTTAGTTGTACCTTTTTTTCATCACTAATATTGAAATCTTAAGGTAGAGTGTTTTTCGTCTGTGTTTCATTGTCAATGTTTCTAAATACCGTTTATAGTATCATTGATTGAGATAAATGCAAACTAGTTGAATTTTGTTTATGTACTTGTCTTAAGATACAAAGTGTGTCTATGCGATTAGTTTTATTCTAGATGAACAGTGTTTCTTTTATAATAATAAATAACGCAAACTCCGTTTAGCACAAATATTAGCATAATTAGATCTTACTAATGATATACTTACTTGCAAACCAGATAGAAAAATAAAAAGTATTAGAACAGCATTCATTAGATACTGTAACGGAATAGTTTTGAAAGTTCGTTTCCTTTGTTTCTGTGATAGATAAAATGCAAATATAACCAGACACATTCACAGGTGTCCCGTGAAAGTTTGTATTCAGAATCGTAGCAGCACAATATGTTGTTTGAACACGCCCATTTCCTTCATTTAAGTTTGAAGCTGATAAATAAATACTGATGAGCTCAGCAGGTAAAGAGAAACACTGGTTGTTGACATGGTATGTCGAATATAAACTTGTTTTAGTGGTTTAGCTAACACTGGCTTGTCTATTATAAAAAAAAGTTGAAACTATTTAAAGATATTGACAAGATTTTTTGAGAGTATTATAAAGTTTCATTTCGCATTTTGCTTAGTCTACAAGAGAGTTCACAAAAGACGACTTGTGTTACGTTATCTTTAATGTCTTTGAATATCACAATAAAAGTAGCGACCCTCCAAATTTGCAGTTGTCGGACGTGTGACATTAGTGCAACACTTATGTCACGTTAAGTCATGGGTCCTGATCAAATCTGATTTATGCTTGAATGTCATCATTTACCACATGATAGAACGTGACATCAATATGAAACGATGATCAAGTGATTATATCTAGTTTATTTTAACTTATTTGAATTAAACCTGCTTCATGACTGATATTCAATATATTTGCATAGCAAGTACAAAATGATGTGCTATATGGCAAGACTATTTCAAACAATTTTTTAACTAGGCAAAACTACTAAATATAAAAGGTAAGTTACAAACAAATTTGTTCTATTTAATATTACAAAATATAAGTTTTCGTTTTTTTTTATAGATAAAAAGGCTTTCAGAATATATAGCATCGAGACAGCAACCCAACCAATAAGTAACAAAATAAATCATCTGTATGGCAACATATATAGGGACAACAGACTATTCAATATATCAATCTCTAAATTTAGATAAACTTTAAAATGTGTGTATAGTTAACAGAAAAAAATCAAATATCTCCTATTAGTAATTTCTGAACCTAAAATGAAGATACTTTAAACGCAAGCAAATGAACCTTACATTAAATTCAAAAGGCAAAGTGATAAATCAAAATAATGACAGCAAACCGTTATTAAGGTTCTTATGACATTTATAAATGTCATTATAGCAAAAATGAAAATCCTCAATATTGAAGCTTGGCCTCAATTTTGTCATCAGTAAAACCATTTTAAAAGTTGAGATGCATTTTTTGAACAGTTCTTTACTTATCCCATTGAAACATCATAAAGTGCCGTTTTATCAAAATTTAATACTCTTGAACGGCAAATATGAAAATCGTCATTATCGCATTTGAGCTTCATTTTGTCATCAGTAACCATATATCTAAATTTGAAAAGCTAGAGATGCCCATCGCGAGCGTCCACCCACCCGCTGTCCAACCTCAAATCAATAACAAACTTTCCTTCAACAACCATTACCAACAACACTTCGACCTTTACATCTTACTCCCCCAAAAATTCTCCCACCTATATTGCCTTTGAAAAAATGTCATTCCATACCGCATACGATGATGAATTATAAAGTAGATTATATGTACAATAATTCATTCATTAAACAATAATTTACAATAAATATATCTGTAATTCCGACACTTATTTCATAACCTTCCATTACATTGTTTTTCATTTACTTTTTAAACGAATTAGACGAAACACTGTGCATTTTGGTGTTGTTAACTTAAACAATTAATGATTGTCAAACAATTGTGACGGACATAACGTCATTTTCTCCTCTGCATTTGCTTTGTTAACTAATTTTGAACTTTTGTTTTTCAAATTGTGTAAGAAGTGTTACTTTCAAATTTTCAAAGAAATCAACTACTAATACCACTTAACAACAATAACTTTAAACATTGTTAAATGCAATAAGTTAAATATTTGATATAATATGGGCCCAAATGTGAACTACCCTTCTTTTCTGATTATAATTTGCTGTATAATAAATATTTCAATACATTGTAAGGTAACATAAAATGTATCTCATGAACCTTTTGCCCTCATTTTTATTTGCCTATTTTGTAGGGTAGGATGATAAATGTCTCATTCGTGAATATCAAAATAACTATTAAATATAAAACGTCAATACTGTAACCCATGAAAACTCTTTATGTAAATTCGAGATTTTGTTTTAACTGAAATCCCCCCAAAAAGCTAGTTTAACATTATGTATTTCCTTTGATGGTCACATTGACTGTTCCAGTCTGCCAGAGTTGTCCGTTTTCATTTCGGATGTTATTAGTAACATTACAGATGTATAATCCACTGTCATCATATTGAATATCACTTGTATTGTTGCATGGTAAGGTTAGGGTCCCGTCATTATTGCCGTCAAGAAATCGAACTTGATCTCCATTTACCAGATGTTTCCATTTGTTAAATTTGTAAACATTTGGTACTCCTGAAACTTCACATTTTAAAATTCGTGGTTTGTCACCAAAAGAAAAAATGTGACTCTTGTTTTTAACAAGAGGAGGATCTGTAAATATGCATTTATAATTCTTGATAATGCATGTTCTAAGTAGTCTCAATATACTTGTTTGGTTATTTGGTTATTATGTTTGATAATTATTAATTCTACAGTGCACTTCGTGTTTATACATATATTCTATACAAAAGCTACATTATCTAGGTTTAACATTCAGTAAATAAATAAATATGCATGGATGGCATTTTGTTTTATTTTATGATTTTGGTAGCAAACAGAGATATCATTACATATAGCTTAAAGAGAATGTCACCATTTTTGTAGACCCTACTGTGACGTGTCATTGTTCTCATCTGTGGATAGATGTCTCATAGGTAATCGTTCCTTATCTCTTCAATTGTATTTTATAGTGCACCGCACGAGCCTGCACGTGACCCGTTTGTGCGGAAGAAGTTACATTGTTTGGAGATGGTTTCATAATTATTATCCATTTAAATTTAAAATGTTTCACTGCAGCATTAAACTGATTTCTTTGCCATCTCATCTGCTTGATATAAAAAAAAATCTTGTAAAATGACTTCATATAATCTTTCAAAAATAATATTTGTTTTGCAGTTTTAGAGGTTAAGAATAAAATTGAGTCTGACTATAAAAATCTACATTTTTTTCATTTGTATCAAAATGAATTTATTCACAATGGTCCTTTAATGTGATCTTGCCATTTTGGTACAAAGGGATGCAGTAAGGTTTTGCTTAGCGCAGTCATTAGTTTTGTGGACTTGTTACTTACATTCAACTGAAACATTAACAGTATCTGAATCCTCGTCCCCAGCAAGATTCTCAGCAGTACAGACGTATTTGCCATTTATTTGTCGCTCAACTTTTTCAAATAATAATTTGTTCGTACTGTTTGGCAAGTTTCGCAAGTTATGGGTCCATCTAAATGTTTCAATAGTTCCATTTGATTGTTCGTTACATATCATTTCAAACGTTTCTCCCTCTTTCACCATAACAGTTTGCTTCTTTGTCCGTCGAACTGAGTTTATATAAACTCTGAGTGAAACATTAGGTTGAACTATAAAAAATTATAACTTCTTTTCCTTAATTCATACATTTGTAGTACATGTAGACACGAGGAAAGCTACAAATGTCGCTTTTGTGATTTCAATGGCTTCTCATTAATTATTGGACAGTATTAAAGCTTTACACTTAAATCGGATACTTAAGCCAATCGGAAATCTTTTAAGATTAAATCTCATTGACTTTTTTAGGGATTTAATATTAAAATAAAAAGTTATGGATATGTTATTTTGTCACTTAATGTAGTGAAAATGCACTTCTACCAAACATTTTACTCATTTATCTAAAAATTAAAAGACAAAAAAAGAAGATGTGGTATGATGCCAATGAGAAAATTCTCCACAAGAGACAAAAATAACACAGAAATTACCAATTATAGGTCACCGTACGGCCTTCAATGAGCAAAGCGCATACCGCTTAGTCAGCTATAAAAGGCCCCAAAATGACAAATGTAATTCAATCCAAATGAGAAAACTAACGGCCTAATGTATGTACAAAATAATGAACGAAAAACAAATATGATACACAGCAACAAACGACAACCACTGAATTACAGGAGCCGACTTGGGACAGGCACATAGAGAATGTGGCGGGATTAACTAGTTTAAAGGCGCCGACCCTCCCCCTAACCTTGGACAATGATGCCTTTTTCATGTTTATTTAATTGTAAAATCGTTAACCGAAGTACATTTTGCGTGCATTGCTTTGACAACCCAATACAGAAAAGAACCTTGCGTTTCCTATTATTACATTCTAATTATAAGATCCTTTCATTTCCTATAATAACAATTTGATTCATCGAACCAATCAAAATTACAGCATTTTGATTAAACATATTGAACAAGATACATGCATGAAACTGTAAGGAAAAATTCGATAATCTGGTAATTATATATATATATATATATATATATATATATATATATTCAAGAGTCAATCATACATTGAGGTAAATTATATGGCCTTCCAAAACCGTTTCGATTCCTAACAGCACTGAAGAGACATTAATTGTCGAAATCCGGATATGTTGTGCCAATTTTTGCACCTTATGTTTCGGGTATACCATCTTTTCCGCAAGTTTATTGTTTTCTGTTTGGTATTAAATTAATAATTAAGATCCATTTTGTTACATCTGGTGATTCGTTTATTTGGCAATCGCCAAGGCAGTCAGCAGGGTTTAAGAACATCTGTTTTTCGACCTGCTAGTCAAATGCGTTTTGTTAAAATATACCTTTTCACTTTTTTGGTCTTTTGGAAAATGTTGTTCATGTTGTTTGTGCTGTATTTAGACCCCTCTACCAAGAAATTTGTTTTGCATGCACACGTATACAAATTGCGGTTTTTATCCAACGCAATCATAGGTTTGAACGTTGTTTTCAATTTAGACTTGTACATATATATATATATATATATATATATATATATATATATATATATATTTAGAAATGGATGGTAGCGGTTTAACACTCAATTATTCTATGGCAACAATGAACTTCAAATAATTGACTCGTATGTTTTCCTTGGAATTTAATTACATTCTAATGGCAAATTTCTACAAATAGAGAAAAGTCTTCCTCAGCAAGGACCCAAGGTCTTATCATCACGAATGAATACTCTCAGAAATGTTAACATATCAACTGATCAATGTTGTATTTTATTTGACAGTATGGTTGGTTAGGGTCTTAGTTATGCATCTGAAACATTGGGTTTTCCATCGTTTACGTGATATTGATACGGTTAATGAATATATA